GAAACTAGTTTCTATAAAATTGTTCTCGTTCATTTCAGCACAAATCTGCTTGGGCCATTTCTCTTTAACATTTCATCTTGTTCTTAGCACACAACCTCCCTGCTCCTCTGAGATCCCCTCAAACAACTGACCATACTGGGATTTGCTTTTCCCCATATACATTTGAGTCTCACTTTCTCCAGAACCTGTTTTCCACCAGTGTTTTCCAGCATAGCATGGCAGACACTAACTCGTCCCTACCCAGAGAGCCCGTTAAAATCCCACCTCCTTCCAAGCAGGGAGTGAGGTACTTCCTTTTTTGACCCTGAGCTACTCTCCAGTTCTGGTAATCAGTAACAATTCACTCAACTTAAAAAAAAAAAAAAGATAAATTAATTCTTCTAAGTAATATAAATACTGAACTTTATTCATGCTCTTGAATTACTTTCCTTTCTACTGCATGTTTGTGTAGCTGCTACATGAGTCCTTTGTACTGATGTAGCTGTCATTCCTTCAACTGAGTTCTTGCCAAACAGTGAGCTGTGTCTGGAGATACAAAGATAACTTCAACTCTTGTTGAAGAGATGCCAGTTTAGTGGGAGAAACAGACATGGAAACAGATCTGTATATAAGATACATGGCCTGCAGAAGGAGAAAAAAATATACTGCACAAATAAATCGGCATAATAGCACCAAAAAAAAAAAAATCTAGAGGGCCATAATATACCACAAAGGCCCAGAAAAACACAAGGATTGTGAACATGAAGGAAATTCTTCCATTTTTGCCTGTTTCAATCTACCCTTACGAACTCTGCCTCTCTTTATGTTAAGAGGGAGGATGGAGCCTCCTCCCTACCTGAAGCCAATTTTCCACTTGAGTGTGAGGCCCTTCTCTCACCTGGTCCCTGAAAAAATCCACTCTCCTACATTATCAAATCCTCCTTTCCTGCAGAATCATTCTAATTCACATACAAATATCTTAATATCATCCCCCTTGAGTCTCCCTCCAGCCTCTTTACCACTTCTCTGCTTGCTTCTCTTCCTAGCAATATGTAATACTTTCATCTTCTGTGTGTATGGCTATCCCTGTTACCTCCTCCTCCGTTCTCTCCTCCCATGATTCCACTGATTTGGTTCTTAGCAAGGTCACCAATAAACTCCATTTTGCTAGATTCATTAGTCATTTTTCTGTTCTTACCTGTAGTGTAGCATCTACTGCCCACTCCCATCTCCCATCTGCCCTTACTGAAAGACTGTCTTCTTCAGGCTTCTTTGAACATTCTCTCCTTTTTTTCTTCCTGCCTCACTGGCAGCTCCTTCCCAATTCTCAGTGTTTGCTTTTCCTTGCCCCCTTTAGAGTCCATTCTCACAGTAGCTAGAATGATCTTTTAAAAATATATACCAGGTTCGGGCGCCCGGGTGGCTCAGTTGGTTAAGTGACTGCCTTCGGCTCAGGTCATGATCCTGGAGTCCCGGGATCGAGTCCCACATCGGGCTCCCTGCTCAGCAGGGAGTCTGCATGATCCTGGAGTCCCAGGATCGAGTCCCGCATCGGGCTCCCTCCTCAGCGGGGAGTCTGCTTCTCTGACTCTCCCCCCTCTCATGTGCTCTCTCTCTCTCTCTCATTCTCTCTCTCTCAAATAAATAAATAAAATCTTTAAAAAAAATAAAAAAATAAAAATATATACCAGGTTATTTCATCCTCTGGCTGAAACCCTTCAATGGCTTTTTAGAGTAAATTCCATACTACCAAGGCGTGCGGTTCCCAGCTCCTGCCTTCCTCTCTGCCCTCATTTCTAGCCATACCTTCTGCTAATACGCTGCAGACTATCACCAGATTTCAGACATACATGGCTTTTTTTTCTGCTCCTCAAACACCCCAAGCTAGTTCCCACACTTCACGCTATTCACTAGCCTAGAACACTCTTCTCTTAGTTCTCTGCAAGGCCAACTTCTGATCATCCAAGTCTCAGCTCAAATGACTTCATTAGAGGGGACTTCCCTGATCATCCCACTCAAGTGTCCCTTCCCTGGACTCAGTCACCTGTTAGCACATTACCCCATTCCAATTTCTCAAAACACAACCAGCACATATCATATTTCTTTCTTGATATTTCATTTGTCTACCTCTCCTACTCGAATGTAAGGAACACAAGGCAGAGACTTGGTCTTAGTCACTGCTGTATGGCCAGCTCCAGGCATACGGTTCAGTGCACTGCAAGCGTTCTGGAAGTATTTACAGAATGGATGAATGAAATAATGATGAAATCCTTGTTTAGGATACTGTGTCCAGCTCTTTGCTCTTCAACTGCAGAAGGGCACAGGAAGGGTAAAGATGAAACAAAAATAGTGCACAGGAAAATCGGACTTATGGCAAAGGTAAACAGAACTAGAATTAATGAGGATGTATTTTATTTTCATTCTTCAGAAGGTCATTACTGACTGTTCACTTATTTTTTTTATGTCTAATGAGGATTAAATAGAGAGAAATGGATGGCAGGTTCAGTAGACTAGGACTACAAGTCCTAGAGTAGATGAGATGTGAGTCATAGAAACACTTACTGGGATTGACTGCTATCTGAGATTGTAATTAGTTCTGGAGGAAGAACACTGAACATTCTTCTAAAACAAAAAGGGATTGTTAACGTCCAAAACATATAAACAAGTTATACAACACAACCCCCCAAAATAAATAATCCAAATAAAAATGGCAGAAGAGATGAACAGACATTTCTCCAAAGAAGACCTACAGGTGGCCAACAGACGCATGAAAAGATAATCAACATCACTCATCATCAGAGAAATGTAAATCAAAACTACAATCACCTCACACCTGTCAGAATGGTTAAAATCAAAATATAAGAAACAACAAGTGTTGGCGAGGATATGGAGAAAAAGGAACCCTTGTGCACTGCTGGCGGGAATGCAAACTGGTGAAGCCACTGTGGAAAACACTGGGGGGGGGGATTTCCTCAAAAAATGATGATCTACTGGGTATTTACCCAAAGAATACAAAAACACTAATTTGAAAAGATATATACATCCTTATGTTTATTCCAACATTATTTACTATAGCTAAATTATGGAAGCAATCTAAGTATCCATTGATAGATGAATGGATAAAGAAGATGTGGTATACACACACACACACACACACACACACACACACACACACACAATGGAATATATTACTCAGCCATAAAAAAGAATGAAATCTTGCCATTTGCAACAACATGGATGGACCTAGGGAGTATAATGTCAAAGAAAGAAAAATACCATGATTTCACTCATATGTGGCATTTAACAAACAAAACAAATGAACAACAAAAAAAAGAGACAAACCAAAAAAGCCTCAACTATAGAAAACAAATTGATGGTTACCAGAGGGGTGATGGGTGGGGGATGGGTGAAACAGATGAAGGGTATTAGAGTACACTTACCATGATGAGCACTGAGTAATGTATAGAATTATTGAATCACTATATCATAGACTTGAAACTAATGTAACACTGTATGTTAATTATACTGGAATTTACAAAATAATTAAAAAATTTAAAAACAAAGGTATTCTAATAATCCCATACCAAAGAGGAACCCCCAAGAATGCCAAGAGCTATACCAAGACTGCGTTCTAAGCCTGATTCCTTTGACACTTGCAGATTACTGCCCTCATTCTAGAGATGAGGAAGCGGAGGCTGAGGTTCAGCAAGACTAACTAACCTGAAAGGCCACAGGGGATAACAATCAAGTTAGGACCACACCCATGTCCGTTTGATTATAAAATCTGTGCTCTTAACTACTAGGTTTAGAAGGGAGAGTTGAAAGCACTTGAATGTAGCCCAGCTGAAAGCATGAGGGTCAAGTTTCTGAGTCTTCACCCAAATCTAGGATTTTAAGGTATTTTCAGGGATAGTATAAAGTACATAATATAAAATATGACTTAAAACAGTCCTTTAATGCAGATTCCACCTCTGAGCTTTTGGTTAAATAGACATGTGATGAACTGGACAAAATAATGTGCTTTCGGGTACTCATTAATATAAATTCTCTTCTGTCATCCTGAAGGATTACTTTATTTACAGTCTGACAGCCTGTCTTAGAAATATGGGAAAAGAAAACAAATTTGCAAGCAGCACCAGGTATGAGAAAAGAATTTCTTGTTCCTCTATGGTTACGAACACAGGTCAGCAAATTACAGCCTACTTAGGGGCTCCGAGCTAAGAATGGATTTTACATCTTTTAAAAGTGTCATGTAGGGGCGCCTGGGTGGCTCAGTCGATTGAATGTCTGCTTTCAGCTCAGGTCATGATCCCAGAGTCCTGGGATTGAGCCCCACAACCGGCTCTCTGCTCAGCCAGTAGCCTGCTTCTCTGTCTCCCTCTGCCCCTCCCCCTGCTGTGCGCGCTCTCTCTCTCTCTCTCTCTCTCTCTTTCTGTCAAATGAATAAATAAAATCTTTAAAAAAAAAGTGTAAAAGAAAAAAAGACGAACACGTCACAGAGACTTTTGTATGGCCAACAAAGCCTAAAATATTTACTATAGGCCCTTTACCAGTAAAGTTTGCTGACCCCTTGTCTAGAACTTAAAAACGGATGCAAAAATATAAAATAGTTGTAACAGAGATTGTAATGTAACAAAATACTGCTTAGAAAAAGCAACTCCTGGAAGGTTTTAGAAGTATCTATAGAGGTCTTGGTTTTTTGTTTTTTAGAATACCATGAACTACAAAACTTCTCAGAGTCTGATTTTAAGGTGGGTCTGGCCTTCTAAACTAGGATCAATGAGATGATATAGGGCAGACATAAAAAGGAAAGGAGATTGCTAAAAAGCTTGGGGAAAATCAGGATGATCCAATTTTAGAGCTGCAAGGGGCCTTATAAGACTGGGAACCAACCCCTTCACTCTGTAAATGAAGAAACCCCTGGTGGAGGGGCAATGAGTTTTTCAGGCCGAATGTGCACACACAGCCCCGTGCCGGGTAGCCTTTACCTTACTACAGAGCCACTCTCTGCAAACCGAAGAGCGGGAGACAGCTTTTAAAAAAGGTCAGACAAGAACCAGCAGATCTGCAAAGAATGTGTGATCCAAAGGTGAGGTCTCAACCCCTTACAAAAAATGTTTCATTTCTTTCTTTAATTTCAAAAATAGTACACATTCATTGTAGAAAATTTAGAAAATGTAAAAAAATTTAAAGAGGAGAGCAAGTAATCATTCATAATACCTCCATTCAATGATAAACACTTAACATTTGGTGTATTTCCTTACAGGTTTTAAAAAAGTACATATACACATATGTCATTTAAAAAATTAGAATACCGCTTATTTTAGTATCTTTTTTTACCACTTGTTACAAGTCATCTCGTGAACGTTTTTGTGTCATATAAAATTCTCCTAAGACTGCTTTAATGGTTGGACAATTCCCTTGTATTTATGTATCATAATTCCTCTAGCAATCCTTCCGGGACAGGCACGTATGGAAGAATGTTTGACCCTACCCTAACCAGCATGACTATGAGCATAATTCAGAATATTTTCCCATTTGATAAGCACAAAATGGTTTCTCTTTGCTTCACAAAGAGGCTGGTCTTTTCTTCACATGAACGTTTATTTACACGCATTCTTCTGTGAACTGTCTACTCCCATTGTCACATGTCCTGTTCCCACTTTTCTTTTGGGTTGTTCATCTTATTGTTTCAGAGCTAAATAGTTAAAGATTTTAATCTTTTTCTTTTGGTCATAAATTTTGTATTTTCCCTACTTTGCCATTTACCTTCTTTGTCTTTTTAAATTTGTTGTTTTTTCAATTTCAGAAATTTGGCAATCAAATCAAATCCTCTATGTCTGTTCCTTGTGATTTTGATAGAGATCAGGATAGCCCAATAGTGATGTGCGGCCATATCTACTGGAGCTGGCCAACGATCTATAGGAGTCTCCAAAAATCAGCCAGTGTAAGTCTTCCAAATCTGCACAGCCCACACAGGGTCTGCTGAGCGGTGGCCAGATGGCAGGAATGTGTAGAGGAAACACGACTGGATGGCTTCAGAGCCAGGGGGATGTGAATGCTAGTCCTAAGTTTGCTGCTCACTTGCTGCACGTCCTTAGGCAAATCCCACACTCTCTCTGGGCACCACATGCCTCCCCTATAAAATGAGAGGCATGGACACTACAATCTCAAAAGACATGTCCAGTTCCAAGGCTCATTCTTATTGACACGTGAAGGAAGGGAACTCAGTACTAGATGTTGCAGGCTAGTTAGAATCCACACCCCAGAGAGACCTGTCAATGAAAAGAGTGGAGAAGGTGAGAGACAACAAAAGGGAGTCTGACAGGAGAGACCTTAGAGTCCTTTTGACATGGAGGTTACATAAATTCATTTCAAGCTAGTCAGCATGATCTGCAGGGTCAAAGGCAGACAGAACCAAAGCCGGAAAAGGGCTTAACACTATGAGCAGATTTTTCCAGAGAAGGCACAGGGAACCTCACTGTGGTTTCCCCTGAGTCAGGTGAGGGACTGTAAATGTCGGATATTGGCACACAAGCCAGAATAACAAAGCCCCCAAAGGGACCTGGATGAGAAAAAGCAGTGAAAGTTTTGAGGTGAAAGGGAAAAGGTGTCACGAGGTGTGAGGGTCGTGTTGAGAGGAAGGTCTTCAAGGGTAGGCCCGAATTAGAGGCATGGAAAGGGACAAAAGACAATGAAACTCAAGCACAGAAAAGAGATGGTCTCAAGAAGAGGTTGGCAGAGTTGTGACAGAGATGAAAGCAATGTCTCCCCATCCCTGTGAAGTACCTGCAAAATACAGTACTGTGACGAATCAATTCGCGCTCTCAAGTATTCTGCTGCCAGCAAAGAAGGCAAGGCACTGGTGAACTGAGAGTAGCACTGTGCTGTGGGTGCTACCGACAAAGTCTCCAGGCCAGGTTACAGGAGATCACAAGAAATCACATTAATGAGCTAAAGCCCTCCTTACCTTTATTTGGTAACTAACTAGTACCTATTTACATGTACTTAACAAGTAATTATTTTTTCTTGCATAATATTAAGTGGTAATGCTGGTTCGTTTTCTTCATTTTACTGCTACTTTAGCAGTTATTTATATTTTTCATCTTAGCACTGATTAAAACATAAAATGTTATGTCTTAATTTATGGTTTAATTTAATCTTTGCAGTCAAATACCGATAACATTGCATCTATTAAAGAAATCAGCCTATCTATTATCACACACCAATAAGTACATTAAAAAGGGGGGGGGGAACCTTATTCTCAAGTGAGAAGAAACTACAAAGCTAGGAACCAATGAAGGAAGAAAAACAATCCTGAGTCCTCCATCTGGCCCAACGAGGTTTATTAGAAATAATTAGAGTTACTTCCTTGTGTTTCAATGATGGAGAATGCCTCACCCATCTGTTTAGTTCCAGGACTTTCCTTTTCAAGCTTGTTTATTAAATGTCATGTAAAGAAGAAAAGAGCCACTTGCCCCTTCCAAAAACACAGGAGGTAAAAAAAAAAAAAAAAAAACTACACTGTGAGTAGATTTTTACCCCCGGGCTCAAAATTCTTAATACATCACTACTCCATTATTATTTATGATGTCTTGGATAAGACTGGAAAAAGACTAACTAGATCCCATTTTAGAGATGAGAAAACTGACACACAAAAACAACGTAAGCAAGTCTAGAACACAGGGGAAACAAAGGCCAGTCTTCCCAGGCAGAAGGGCTCTTTTGGGATCTTGGTTCTTGGCTTCCCTTTGGGGTACACAGCAGCCTTCAAAGGAGAGAGGATGGAGAAGGAAAGAGCAGGAAATTGAGCTTAGCCCCAGCTTCATACCACACTACTGCTGGGATCTTAGGAAAGTAATTTTAACGTTCTGATAGCTCCATGTCCTTGACTATAAAATAGGGCTAATATTTACATCGACTCCCTAGTATAGCGCTTAAAAAGATCAAATGGAAGGAAGCCCTCTTTATAAAGTACTGGGCATTCTTGTCATTTAGGGACTTGAGAGAGAACGATACAACTAAAATAATGACTTTCCAAATTGTATCACTCTGTCATTCACGAATTTCATAAACTCATCTCCTAAAAGAGCCATCTGGCATATATTTAAGAATAAGCCTAATTTTTGTTTCAACTATTGTGTTTTACCCAACTGAGACAACTACTATGTGCATGTAAATCGTTAAAAAAGAGACAACAGGCCCCAAATGGAATCGCCTCTGCTGGGCCCACATGACCAAACCAAAACTTAATGCCTATCCTAACTGCAGTTTTAACCTCCCCCAGGAATGTAATCTTGACAAGTCAGGGTGGAATTCCCTGGTCAGCAGTAGTAAGGTGATCCATGTCACAGAACCCTTCCATTGCCCAAAGAAAGGTGAGGTGATCTGCTTTTTCCTTGTCCCTGCCCTCTTCTGCTAACAAAAGCCTTTCATTTTGTACAGCTCCTCTGAGATCCTTTCTATCTGCTAGATGAGATGCTGCTAGATTCATCAATTGTTGAATAAAACCTATTAGATCTTCAAATTGACTCAGCTGAGTTTTGTTTTTTTAACAGATTTGGTGGCAGCAGTGGGATCTTAAGCAAAATCCTGATGATATTTGGGGACAACAAGAAACGCAGGCATGGTACCCTGTGAACTGTCTTTCTCACCATTTCTGAGGGCCACTGGGAAGTTCCTCCAGGTTCTGAGCTCTGGTCTCTTTCTGTCATGCTTCTAATCTAATTGGCTGCAATTCCCCTTTTGTTGGGAAACGCAGTCCAGTCTCCAGTTCTCATTTTTGGGGTCTGCTAGGTTCATTCCTTTCCCTAGTCCCAGTTGCACCCAGGCCCTTCTCTTGGCCAGTCTATAGTAACATCTCTTGGTTACTGCTAATGTGTTAAGGTACATATTTGTCTCATTTTGTGAAGACAAAGGCTATTGGTAATAGGGATTTCTGAAACCAAAAAGCTGCAAAAATTGGTGGGCACAAGCCAAACATTTAAAAGCTGTTAGAATGTTCACCACCTAACTCTGAGACTCCCAAATTAGGATAAGTTGGTCAGCAAATGGGTTAGATTGAGACTAGCTCACCCACCAAACCCAAGAAAATTTCTGTGCAATGTACACTGTAAAACACCACACAATCTCCAACCCCCTAGTACCTCCCTTTGAGGTATTAATTTGGCTCTGAGACCCAAAAGCTTAAATAGGTAGATAAATAAAAAGAAAGATAGGATCCTTTAATTTCAGAGTTGAACATGCCACCTTCTGGCCCACCTGTTTATTCTATGTCTAAGAACTATGGTCTCAGAAGCTGTAAGCATATACAAAAATAGCACAATCTTACTGTGTTCTGAGAGCTTGACCTGGTAACCATTATGTCAGGGGCCCCAAAATATGGCCAGAGAGAAATATGGGTTACACCCCATCTGCAGCTAGATATGGCTCGACAGAAAATGGGTTAAACTCCATCTGTGGCTAGGATCCTACCAAACTGCTCTCTGAGGAATTACAGACAAGAACTACAATAGCCATTATGAGAAATGCTCCAATTAGGGAAGATCGGTGAAGAAGTGCATTGAAAAGCAAGGGCTTGCAAATTAAACAAACAGAATGTGATGCCTATTTTAACTGGCATGAGAAGCTTCCAAAAGGTTTCAAAATTCCAAAATAGCTTCATTGAAAGATTTGTTGCAAAAGGCTTAAAAAAAAAAGATATAACAGGTACCCAAAACAAAAGACAGCAAGACTGACTTAACTCTTCCTGCCTCTGTCCTTCTTTACTTGATACTCATTCTAGTGATCCTCTGAATTTGCCTTTCTGCTCTGAAGAGACTATTAAACAGTTACCTTTTAAAATAAGGCCACCCAAGGCTATAGGGATCCTCTTCAGATATCTCATGCCTAGGTCAAAGGTGATCTAAAGCCACAGTCAAAGAATTTCCCAAACCCAGGGAGGATCCTCAAAACTTTTTTAAATGGGTTATCTCCTGAGATTAGTGGATTGATAAAAAGCCAGAAAATAGAATGGGAGGCCATTGTTGTGACTGAACTCCAGACCACAGCTAAGCACCTTGAAAGGACTTTGAAACAAGACTGTAAAGAAAGTCCATCAGGTTAGTGGCCTTACAGATGCTCTCATATCTATTTCCAAAGAAGGGCCCCACATGGGCCCCTTCTGGGGTTGACAAGATTCCAAGAGATTTTCTAGTAAACTGCTGTTATTCCCTTAAACAGCAAAGGGAAACTAAAATTAAAATTAATGAAAAACCTTGCTGAATTCTGGGAAACATTGGAGCTACTCTCTCAAAACCCCTCTCTGAGCCTGCAGAGGGGATCCTGGGCAGAAGCCAGCTAAGGGTGAGAGTTCTTATCAGTCAGCTCTCCCAGATTTCTATCTGAAGTCTGCTCCCCCTCCCCCACAGTGAGAGGAAAAGAAAATATCTTTTGTACCCTCTCTGGAGACCTCTCTTACATCTTAGGGGTGTTATTTAATACTGCCAGAAATGCTTGCTGTTTGTCCTGGCTGAAAACTGACAACATAATTAAACAAATTTTCAAGTATCTCTCTGGTTAGAAGTTCAGAATCTGGTAAGAACTTTTCTTTTAGGCTTCATCCCTTAAACTAAAGGTACCCAGAGGTTGTAAAAGGATTTATGGGTGGATCAGCCTATGATATCATTTAAGTTGCAATCCCACTCCTTGAGGAATTAAGATCAACTGTCCTTATCTTACAAATCTTTACAAAAGCAGAAAAACAACTTAGATCCAACTTCTTTTTCAACCAGTGAATTTTGTACCTGATTCGTGGCAGTAATTTTAAAACAGAAGCTATAAGGTGTCTGTTGAGGGTGTCTATACCTAGGTGTGCTGTGGATTTATGGTATTTTTCTACCTCTGGATGGTATTGCCAAAGTTAATTTGTGAAAGAGCTCTATTTTATTGGCATTAAGAAAATGAAGGGTTTACATAAAGGAAATTCTCAGAAATAAAACAGAATCTAACCCAAATGAATTTTAGGTTCATATGATCTGGGAAAATATTTGGTATTGAAACTAATTTAAAGTTTGTTGGTTTAATTAACATAGACATGTCTTCAGTTACCCAAATTAAAAATAATGCAGACATACAGCTTTTATTCTCCCTCTGC